AAAAAAAAAAAAAAAAGAAAATTGCAGGACGAACCACCGCTTTCTGGTCACAGGACTGGGAAATACATCACAGTTGAACTTCTGAAAACCGAAGAGAGGAGAAAAAATGTTATACGTAGAAACGATGCATGGCCTGTAGGGGAACAGCAGCATGAGTGACAGCAGGTGTCTTATCCTACATCACAGAGGCCGGGAGGAAGCGGCATGTTGTTCAAGCATTGAAAGAGATTGAAAGGGAAGTGAATTCTCTACCAACAGAACCGTCCTCGGGAGTGAAGGAGGAATGAAAATATTCTCAGAAGCAGACTGATAGAATTTGTTGGTAGCAGATTTGCCCTTGGTGAATGATTAAAAGGAGCTGTCCAAGAAGAGGAAAATTGTAACAGGAAGGCAGGGACCTTCAGAAAATTAAGAATAGAATGGGTAAGAGTGGAAGGAAACATGACTGACCGTCTTTCACTTCGTAAGTTTCTTTAATCATGGTTGATGCTTGAAGCAGAAAATAACACTGATGTGGGGCTCGGTGTATGCAGAGGAAATATTTATAATTATATTTGAAAAGTGGGAAGGATGAAGGGACATAAGTGGCGGTAAGGTTTCTACACTGCAGTCAACGTGGCACAACATCAATACCAGGGGACCTCTAAGTGCCGTGTGTGTGTGTGGTGATGTCTGGAGCAGCCGCTGAGAAAACTCAACACAGTGGTAGAGGCAGAAACATTACATGGAATTCTAACAAATGTTTCAGGATCTCACAGGGCACAAGAGAGGAAACAAACACGATTAATGAAATGGCAGACAGAAACCCTAATATGCCAATGACTACTTTAACGTAAATGGTCTAAATGTACCAGTTAGAAGACAGAGGTTGGCAGAGTGAATAAACTGAGACCTGACTCTGCGTTGTCTACTATACGCTGAAGCTCATTTTGGCCACAGGGACATGGGTAGATTGAAAGTAAAAACATGGAAGAGGATATATCAAGTAAACATTAATTTTTAATAAGCAGATAGACTCTATTAATATCAGCCAAAATAATCTTCAGAGTGAAGAAACTTTCTCAGAAAAAAACAGGGACGTTACCTAATGATAAAATGACCAATCCCAAGTGCACAGGCACCACGTGACAGCTTCAGAGCATATAAAGGACTTTATATGAGGACTTCTTACCCACTCTCAGCAGTTGCTAGAATTACTAGACAGACATTCAGCAAAGATACACAAGAGCACCGCCCTCAACCGACAGGATTAAGGGACACTTGTGGAACACTCCACCCAACAATAGCAGAGGACACATTCTTTTCCAGTGACCATGGAACATATTCCAAGAGAGACCATATCTTGGGCCATAAAACAAAATCAATTTAAAAGAACTGAAACCATACAGAGACTGTATTCTCTGAATCAAACTGAAAATCAGTAGCAGACAATAAGAAAATCTTCAAAGGTGGAAATTCAGCACAGGTGTCCTCAGAGATACAAAGGAATGAACGGCTGCTCTACACAAGGAGCTGGTGACTCTAGGGAAAATGTCCTGAGTCCAAAGGGCAGTCATTAAAGGGTGAGTGCAGCGAGATCCCACTTACGTGATGTTCGTGAAGTGACAAGTCCAGGTCTTCGTGGTCTCCGGGGTTAGGGATGAAGCTGGGAGTGGCCATGATGTGCCGATGGGGCAGTCGTGTGTGGTGACGGTACTTAAGCAGTGTGATGGTGGTGGTGGCGGCCACTCGGATACACAGACAGCATCTGCCCTGTCTCCTTCCTGAAGACACACAGCCAGACCGAAGGGAAGGAAGTAAACCGGTGATCACAGGAGCAGCCCAACGGAAGGGCCAGTGCATCAAAATAAGTACGACATGCCCATAAAAGAGGTGAAAGTCTTTATCTTGGCGGCATGACACCGGGAACAAGAAGAAGGTGCCTAAAAGAGGTGGATAGAAGCAACAATGCTGATATCTGGTTGATGGATGCCCTAGAGAAAGGGGTCATAAATACGGGGAGTAGCCAATATTTGAAGGGACAACGGAGACAAATTTTCCAGAGTGTAAGAGAAAGGACCGTCAGGTTAGATCTGCAGAGTACCAAGGAGGCACATATTTTTTTTAAAATTTTTTTTAACGTTTATTTATTTTTGAGACAGAGAGAGACAGAGCTTGAATGGGGGGGGGGTCAGAGAGAGAGAGGGAGACACGGAATCTGAAACAGGCTCCAGGCTCTGAGCTGTCAGCACAGAGCCCGACGTGGGGCTTGAACCCACGGACTGGGAGATCATGACCTGAGCCGAAGTCGGACGCTTCACCGACTGAGCCACCCAGGCGCCCCGGAGGTGCACATATTGACAGGCTATTGAATCTAAGAATGTCAAAGACAAACGTGGAGAGGACTTCCAGAGAAAAAACAGATTGCTTTTAAAGGAACAGGAATCAGATCGCGATCAGATGTTGTTAGTCTACCGGTATCTCCGTTATGCTTCTTGCCCACGTAGAGTACGGAAGGTTGATTTCTCCCCCCAGTAGCAAAATACGTAGATAAACCTGAACCTGGTAAAAGAAAAGGAATAATAAAGGTTAGAACAGAAAGTAATGAAGTAGAAAAACGTACAGTGGAGAGTATCAATAAAACCAAGAGTTTGTTCTTTTACGAGGCTACGAAAGTTGATAAACCTCTGTTAAGACTGACAAGGGGAGAAAATGAGACAGCACAAAATACCGACATGGAGTGGAAAGGGGTTATCACTACAGGTCCTGAGCAATAAAGAGACACTACAAGGAGCATATGAATCACTTTATTCCTCCCAAAGTAGATGAATTGGTGGCTTCCTAGGAAAATGTGGTTTACTAAAACTTATGCAAGAAGAAATAGGAAGGCAGGAGAGTCTGGTACCTAGTAAAGAAATTGACTTTGTGGTTTAAAAGCATTGGGGCGCCTGGGTGGCTCAGTCGGTTAAGCGAGTGACTTTGGCTCAGGTCATGACCTTGCAGTCGGTGGGTTCAAGCCTCGTGTCAGGCTCTGCGCTGACAGCTCAGAGCCTGGAGCCTGTTTCGGATTCTGTGTCTCCCTCTCTGCCCCTTCCCAGCTCACACTCTGTCTCTCTCTCTCCCTCTCTCTCTCAAAAATAAACATTAAAAAAATAAATAAAAAGCTTCCCATGGTAATGGCTGTAAGCACAGGTCTTTATTAACTTCAAAATATTTAACTAGGAAATAACTCTGGGCCTAGACTCTTTGACACCAGGAAGAGGGAGCATCTCTAAACCCATTTTATGAGGCCAGCATCATAACCTTGATCCCACATGGTGACAGGGACATTACACAAAAGGAATATCATAGATCAGTCTGTCTCATTGAATACAGATGTAAAAATCCTAAATAAAATATTAACCAACTCAGTCTGGAAATCAAGAATTTAAAAAGAATAATACATTGTGACCAGATTGAACTTATTCCAGGAATGCAAGTTAATTTAACATAAAAATGAATGTAATTTACCACATTAAAAAAAGCTGAAGAAAAAAAAATCATGGGATCATCTTGGTGGGTGCAGAAAAAGCATGTGATGAAATGTGACACCTGTTCATGACAACAACTTGGCAGATGAGGGATAGAAGGCACACCCACAAATACCCACTTAGCAAATGTCACATGAGATGCAGAGGACAGGTTCCAAAGACAGCTGCTGACATTCCTCCCATGCCTGCACACGGATCCAGCCTCGTGTTGAATCTGAGCTGGCCTGCGAGCTCGCCTGGTCCCTGGAACGTGGCAGGAAGCGTGCCGAGCTGTCTCCACGCCTGGGGGAGGCGGTTACTAAAACAACAACAACAGAAAACAACACATATTGGCAAGGATGCGAGAAACCGGAACGTTGGGTGCTGCTGGTGGAGGGCCGCTGTGGAAGATGGTCTGGCGGCTCCTCAAAAAACGAAACCTGGGACTCCCGTAAGATCCACTACGTCTGTGTCCTGTTACACAGCCTGTAGAGGTGGACACAGGTCGGGCAGGTCCCTGCACGCCTGTGCTCCCAGCAGCTGAGCGGTGGAAGCAGCCCGAGTGTCCATCACGGGTGACGGATAAACCGTGGGGTACCGTCGAGCTGCAGAAGGAATGAAGTGCGGACGCCGGCCACCGTGTGGCTGAACCCTGAAAACACGATGCTCGGTGAGAGCCCGACAGGGAAGGCCACGCGGCGTAGATTCCCCTTCTGTGAGGTCCCTGAGGCTGATGCAGTGGCCGGTGGTGTGCCCTCTTCGGGGAATTCTAGATGCCAGAGGCCGTTCCGACGCGGGAGGGGGCAGGCCCCGTTACGGAGTCTGGGGAGGGTGGTGGGAGAGCAAGAGAGGGGCAGAGCTAAGGGACCCCTCTCCTTCCCCACTGCTCGCAGCAGGGGCGCCTCGTTGGAGGAGGCCGTGCTCCTAATCTCAGTCTGGTTTCGCGTTTTCATCACTTCCTGGTCCTGGACGATTACGACGACTGAGCTGACTGACGCTGGGTTCATATCTCAGCGTAACCTTAGGACTTTGAAACTCTACGTTTGAGCCAGAACGAGATGGCACTGTCCACACGTGCCTCTCGGGGCAGAGACGGGACTGCCTCCACTGAATAGTTAAAGAGGCAGGAAGAGGTAAGGAAAACGTGATTTCCAAGTCTATTCGCGGAGTCTCGCTTGTTCAGTGTCCTGTGCCACGTGTTTTAAAGCGTGTCATTTAAGCCAGTATAACAAACCGACTTTAGCAAATAATTCGTGCTTGGTTGATTCGTTTGTGATCTCATCCAACACACGTGGGCTGTTTGACGTTTCTGGGCATCAGGACACAGCAGGCAGTCAAAGCAGATGCTGTTGCTTCTCACGGAGCCGACAGCCGGGAAGGGAGGTGCCACGTGCAGTGGGGGGCAGGGCGGAGGTGTAGACGCCCCCAGGAGAGACTCTGGAAGTGGGGTCCAAGGTGGAGGAACTCAGGCACAGAGGAAGGGAATGCTGGTCCGAGGGCCTGGGAGCAGAGGGAGGGAGGGGGACGGGGACCTTGGCTGGCTTGAAGGCGTCACTGGCTTTGCCCCTGGACTGGCCTGATGGGAGATGGTGGGGCACGTGGGCAGGGGCAGGGTTACTTTGCAGAAGCAGATTCGGGGCTGAGGGGCAGGGGGATGACCAGGGCATTCTGATTTCTGGCTTGGACAGGGTCACAGACAGCTGAGACCTCCAGGATCCAGTAAGTCAACGTGGTGTAGCCTCCGTCCCAACGCTCACCGGCTCGAGTGAGTTAGGAAGTCTGTAGGCTGGGAGTGGTCTCCAGCCCGTGATGGCCGGGCCCCCTCGAAGGCTGGGGCCCCGCTGCGGGGCAGCTCTCCTCCTGGCCAACTCCGGCTTCCTAACTAACTGGTGTGATGGTGGGCAGTTTCTAGCATCCGATGTGTGGCTTCACCCCTCGAGCGACACAGGCCCTCAGGGAAGCTCGGCGGCTGTCGGACGTTGGGTGCATGTGGTGGCGGGAGGGCCGCTGCTTTTAGGCCCTGCTGGTCAGGCCGGGCACCGGGGGACTGCTGGTGTCAGTGTCTTCGAGTCAGGCTCTCCGGAGAAGACCCACCAGCACCGGGGGAGGGCGAAGATGGGGCCCCTGGCGTTCCGGTGAGGGGCAGGGGTCCGCCCTGGTTTGGGTCTCTGCTGTCCTGGACCCCCAGTCTAGAGACCGTTCTCCTCCTCCGGGGCCGCAAGGCCAACTCTCCCCCAGCTCCGGCAGCTCTCCCTTCCAGGGGATCCGGTGAGACCACCTCTGAGGCTGCGGGGGTGGGGGTGGGGAGGCCTGTGGTGTGAACCGGGCTCTTCGACAGGTTCTGTCTGCCAGCTCACAGTTCAGTAAGTCGACGACGGCTCTCCCGTCCTCGTTCGGGCTCCCAGACTTTTCTGAGGGTCTCCCCTGGGTTCTCCCCGTCCTCGGGGCTTTGCGCCTTTACAACAAAGTCCCTTGGAGCACCTGGGTGGCTCAGCCAGTTGGGCATCTGACTTGGTCAGGTCATGATCTCACAGTTCGTGACCTTGAGCCCATTGTCAGGCTCTGTGCAGAAGCCGCTTCAGATCTGCCCGCCCGCCCCCCCGTGCCCCTCACCCGCTTGCTCTCTCAAAAATGAATATTTAAAAAAAAATGCCTTTATTGTGATTTTAGTGTGGCTTGTGGAGGAAGCGAAAATAACAGGTGTTTTGAATTCCCTCTTTCCAGGAAGATTTTAAAAATTTAATGCAAAGAAAATCGATTACTTTTGAATGGTTAAGACACGCATTTGGTGCACAGCTCGAATGGCACTCGAGGACACGGAACACAGAAGGGCTCCTGCCCCCGCTCGCCTCAGAGGCCGCCTGTGTCCTTCAGTGTCCCTCTGGAGGCGCCATGCCTGAATCCGCACACGCCCACACGTACGGCCACCCCTCAGCTGGCAGCGCACGTGCCAAGTTTCACACCGTGGTTTTGGTTTCTGCTCAGGAACACGCCGTGGGGATGGGTTAGCGTTTGCGCACTCAGGGCCGCCACATGCTTTTTAAACGGTCGTGTGGCGCCCCGTGGTCCCGTGGGCCGCAGAGTATTTCGTCAGACCCTGTCGATGGACACTTGGTTTTTCCTGCCACTCTGCTTATCAGGAGTTTCTGTGCGCCCGGAAAGGTATACATTTACCCACGTGCAGAAAAACGCACCCATCGGGATAGTCACTGCGGTATTGATTTGTTATCAGATGATTGACAAACCTAGCGAGGTAGGAATGCTGGGATCTGGGTATTTAACGATTTTCCACAAGTGTGCGAAGAGGCCCCTCTGCACAACCCCACCAGAAGCGTGGGGGCCCGTTTCCCATGCCCCCACCACCTGCAGTTGCCAGACCGCAGGGCCTGTGTGAGCCCGACAGGTTAATCTGCACTGGGTGTCTTCATGCAGAGGAAATCGGTCCTTTGTGACGGGTATCGTGAATTTATTGCGTGTTTTGTTTTTATTTTGAATGTGCGAGGGTTTTTTTACGCACAGGTTTTCATTTTTACAGAGTTGAGTTTATCGATTTTCATATTTATAGCTCCTGGATGTATGATTAGAAAGGCCTCCTGTGACAGGGCGTCTGGGTGGCTCAGTCGGTTGAGTGTCCAACTTTGGCCCAGGTCGTGATCTCACGGTTCGTGGGTTCGAGCTCCACGTCAGGCTCTGTGCTGACAGCTCAGAGCCTGGATCCTCCTTTGGATTCTGTGTCTCCCTCTCTCAGCGCCCCCCCCCGCCCCCCACTCTCTCTCTCCTCCTCTCTCTGCCTGTCCCCTACTCATGCTCTCTCTCTCTCAAACATAAAAAATAAATGTTAAAAAAAACAAGGCTTCCTGTGTCCGGAGATGATATTTCCCAAACGTTACTTCTGTTGCTTGTATATCATCTAACCCATCTCAAGTTTATCTATACAAAGAGAGACACTGGGATCCAACCTAACTTTTTTCCAATTGACTTTACTTCTTCCCAAACTATTAAGTTATTGTCATCCCCACAAATATGCAATGCCACCTTCATCACGTACAGAGTCCCCGTAAATATCGGTTTGGGTCTATTTCTGGATTCCTTGTTCTGGTTCTTGAACGTCTGTTCTTTCCTGTACCCTGTTCATAATCTTTTAATGTATCTTCCTATGTGGCTCTGCTGGATATTCCCGCCTCCTGAGTCTGCTCGGGCTGCTATGACAAAATTACCACAGGCCGGGCAGCTTGTGAACAGCAGACACTGATTCCTCATGGCCCTGGAGGCTGGACGTGGAGAGGACGAAACCCCTGTGGTTCCGGCCAGGCCGCTGCTGGCCGTCTGGTCACCGCATCCTCGCCGGGCTGCGGGGGCGAGGGCGCGCCCCGGGTCTCTTTCGTGAGGCCACTGAGCTCGCCGTGAGGGTCCCGCCCAGGACCTAGCACCCCATGCTGGGGGTCAGGATTTGAACAGGAGTTTGGGGGCCGCAAACGTTCTGTCTGTGGCATTTCTGTAGCTGCGTTCTCGTCCAGCACCCACCCGGACGTGAGGCTGGGCTTCTTCTCCCTGGCCCCCACCCCCTGCCCGGGACTCAGCTGTCCACGGAAAGAGTCCCCGCAAACGCGCTGACTGAACAACACACCCGATTATCCCGTGGCTCTGTGGGCCTGGGGTCTGTGGTCTGTGTTCTCACCGGAGGCCCCACGGGGTGTCTGCTTCCAAGCGTGGGCTGTCACACAGCAGGGCCACCCCAGGGAGCGTGGGTGATCAGACTTCACAGACATGTGAGAAAACTCGTAGGAAGTTGTGCATCCCAGACCCACCTCATGAGCCATTTAAAAGCTGAACAATCAAGGAGCGCCTGGGTGGCTCAGTTGGTTGAGCGTCCAACTTCGGCTCAGGTCACGATCTCACCATTCACGGGTTTGAGCCCCACATCGAACTCTGTGCTGACAGCTCAGAGCCTGGAGCCTGCTTCACATTCTGTGTCTCCCCCTCTCTCTGTCCCTCCCTGGCTCGTGCTCTGTCTCTCTCAAAACTAAACAAACATGAAAAGAAATAAAAGCTGAAAACTGGATAACATTGTTCTTGCAACGTTCTCCTGCTGCCTCCTTCCCAAGGAATCTCTCTCACCGAATGCAGCTTCTTCAGAAGTACAGGGTTTGGGGGATGCTTCCCGCCTCCTCTCCCCCTGTGGCCCGTCTTCTGCATCCCTACAGGGCCCCTGCCTGTGTGTGCTCAGGGTGGGACTTACAGCCCTCCCCGAGGAACTGCTGTGGCCCTAAGAATAATAACCACTGGGGGTCACGGTCACTGGCCCCTGCTGCCTGCTGCTCCCTGCTGGCCTCCGTCCCAGCTCCTCAACTAAAAGCTGCACTCGAGTAACGTCCACCCGTTTGAGGTGTAAGGGCCTCTCCGGGAAGGCTCTGGCACCCGGCTGTCCCCCAAGGGCCTCTCCAGGAAGGCTCTGGCACCCAGCTGTCCCCCAGCGAGCAGGTCAGTAGCAGTCAGCCACATCCTCCGCCCTCAAGGCTTCTGCACGCTGCCCAGGACACGGTGCCTGTGGGGAAGTCAGACCACGGTGCCCCGCCACGTCTCCAGAGGCCAGGGTGGAACGAGTCATTTTCTCTTCTGCACCCATCTGCCCCGCAGACTGAATAAAGGAGGGAACAAACAGCACCGTGCCTATTAAGCAAGCAGATTCACATAGTCCCACGAGGGGGGTCCACGTTGCCCCCACAGGTGCCTACCTCCGTGCAGGGGCAGCACCGCAGGGAAGTGTTCCTGCAGGAGAAACACTCCGGTGGTTGAATCCTGGCGGGAGAGTGGAGCTGACAGACCCAGGGGTGGTGCTCGGGAAAGAACGTGGCTCTGAAGTCGGGTCTTTGCAAGGCTTGGTCACCCAGGTCCTAGGG